CTGTCATAAAACCCAAACAGACAGGGACGAAATGCTGCCCGAACATCATCCATTTACCCTTGTTTTCGTGAATTTCCGGAGACAATGACAAAATACCAAGTGTTTAGATCTCCAAGCAACGTATGTGTGTGTGAATGTATTTGAATACACACATATAAATGCTAAGTTTTAGGTTGCCACTACCCAGCTAACATTTTTTAATGTACGTTTGGTTTTGTTCTGTCGAGACTTTCTTAAGTTTTTTTCCCAAAAATTTCCAAGTAATCTGCTCACATTTTAAAGGAAAATATTGTTTAGTTCGTTAAATGAAAAAAACCCCATACAAAGTCTCCCACATTTGTTGTGACAGGGTACACATGTGCGGGTTAACATTTAGTGAAATATTTGTATGTTATGAATAAACAAACATTTCAAAACTATATGAAATTTAGATCAAACGTTTTTATTTCTTTAGAATCATTCTTTAATTACCGACAACTTTCGTTATTTACCGAAATTCAAAGCATTTGAATAATCGTCGTTATCGACAAATATCGTTAATGCTGTCGAAAACAATTTAGAGAATCGCACTCACTTTGAGTAGTTTCTTTTCGAACTCTGAAAAAACTCAGATACAATTGTTGGCTGGGTAATCGGTCAGCAACAACAACTACTGAAGTCAATTTGTCAAAATATAACAGTAATGTGTATGTACATTTATATGTGGACTTTTATTTCTAAATATAAATAATTGACATTTGGCAGGATACGTGCTTACCTTTCCGGCTGAGGGTAAAGAAGCAAGAAGCTAGTGCAGGAGTAGGGCGCTATGTATGTATCTGCATAGGTATATCCTTAAATTTTAGTTAAAACTTGGCTGTCGAACAGAGCCACGACCACGACTGCTACAGACTACGCTTTTTCAAGTGGACCAATAAAGCACGGTGCTTTTCGGACTAGGGCCTTGGTATCGGGAGTTTCGTTTCTCCGTATTTCGGCAACGACATCCACACACTGTACACTTAATCACAACACACTTTTCTACTTTCGCTGGTCTAGCTTAACTGTGGCGTACACTTATTACTTGCTTTCCTTTTTGTTATTTGTAAAAACACAATAAAAGAAACTAAATAAAAAACTAAAAAAGAAGTTGCCTTTTCGTTTGTGTTATCCCGTTTTTATTTACAAGCCGTTTCGCGACACTTCCTACAACACTGAAATGGTCCTTGCTGAGGCTAAAATTCTACTGGAACCACGATTCATTGATGAGCAACATACGAAGCTCGTTCAGCCAGGCGCGTTCTAGCAGTTACAGCAATTGTGGCCGCTGCAAAGAGCCGTTGCCACCTTATCAGCTGGCTGGCAGCTGTGTTGTTGTTGCTCTAGTCGAAGGGAATCAAGCAAGTGGTTGTTTCCGATGTTTTGTCGTGTACAATCGGCTCTCTCTCTCTCTCTTTTTAGTATTGTAAACAACAGCGAAGATGTACTGTCGTGTACTGTCTGGATATGCATAAATATGTGTGGACATATGTATTTATTAGGGGGAACCGATGATAAAAGTGTTTTTTTTGTTTGTTTTTTTGCTATCCATCAAAACATTATTGTGGTGATAGTTACTCTGTTTCAGAACCTACAAGAATCTACATTTGTAATTCATGTGTAATGTGAAGCAAATTAATATTTATCACATTAAATAATAGCAAAATTATATAATTAAACATAATTATATTTTTAGCTATAATTTGATATAAATTAAATTGTTTATTTGTGGGCTATATAGTTATAGCTATATAGTTATTTTATATAATTAAACATAATTATATTTTTAGCTATAATTTGATATAAATTAAATTGTTTATTTGTGGGCTATATAGTTATAGCTATATAGTTATTTTTAGGCTATATAGTTACTTTTGTCAAAAAATGAACTTTTATCAAAAACAGAACAAAGGAGCGTGCAAAAAACAGATGTAAATTATGGACCGAAATTGAACTAAGTCAACCTATAGGTCCTTTGTTCAAAGGCCTAAAAGTGTAAATATTGGACAAAATGCATTATCGGAAAATAGCGAATGTGAAAAATATGTAAAGGCGCTGCTCACAACAGGGATATGTTAGCTTTGACGTTTTCAATAAATTGAAAATTGGATTTGCTACATAATTAAAAACACACCCCCAACAGTTTCTCATCAATCAACAGTCCCAATTTTTTTCTTAAATCCACGTTTGAAATTAAAATATTTATTTTCGAAAATTGTACCTTAAAATTTCAAAACTATTTTGGTGATTAGACATTTTTGACTAAGCAAGTGGAAACTATTGACCACGCAAGTGATTTGGCATGACATCTTTCTTCCATTGCCACCTGTCATTTTTAAGTACCCCCAAAGTATCCAATTCACAGGATATTTTCTACTCACCCGAATACAATTTGTTTGGGTTGCTTATACACATACACGCATAAAATTACTTCTAACCCACTGACATAGACTCTCGCATTTTGCAGGGAGAAAAAGTCAGAGCCTGCGCACTAAAAGCGCTTGACAGTAGATTCAACTTCCCCCAAACATGGCAATTAAATATTCATTAACTTTAAAGCTTTAAATTCCTATGGTGATTTTAACATACGCATTACATACAGATGTGTATGTACTCGGATAAGAAAATAAAAATCTCGCTAAACGAAATGCATTCGCATCGTTAACATTCAGCTTTTTATCCGGGTTAGCCGTGATAATAGAACAATTACAATAATCTTGACCGTGAAAAGTATATATCATTGCCAATACAGTAGGGCCATGGTAGAAGAATATATGTAGACGCATCGACACTTGGGAACATTGATATGTAAATTTTGTTTTAAATGTTTCTTCAAAACTAAGTAGATTTCTATATGTTTTCCTCTACGACGCCAATCTGAGGTTGTTATGATATGCAATTTTCAACAATTTTTCCTAATTTCTATAATTTTCAATTCCAAAATCAGTTTGACAGCTCCATGGTAGAAGAATATAGGTAGCATCAACACTTAGGAACATTGATATGTCAAAATTTTTAAAATGTTTTATGAAAAAGAAGCGGATTTTAAATGTTTTTTTATACGACGCAAATCATAGGTTGTTATAATAGGAATTTTTCAAAAATTTTTACAAATTTCAATAATTTTTCATTCAACATTTTCAATTCCAAAATCGGTTTGATAGTTCATTGTCCCAGCATCTGTGTCGATGCGACTACCTATATTCTTCTACCATGGACAGTTCATTGTCCCAGCAGCTATGTCGTATTCTTCTACCACAATGTTCTGTGTGGATAATGCTAAGTTCACATGGCACTTGATTCGCTCTCTATTTGTGGTTCGACCATTAATTATGAAAATATCTACTTGATTCCCCTCAAAAATTTTTCTGAGGGAACAAAGATTTTTGCTCTATTCAAATCACTCTCAGAACTAACATTAAATGTGTAAAAAAAATGAAAAAGTAAATTATGATATTTCAAAACTCAAAATAGAACAATTTAAGGAAATTTTAAAAATTTTCAGGAAGACTGAAAATTATGAATGAAAGGTATAAAGTTGAATGGTGTATGTGCATTCAAACCAAAGTAAATTTTCTTTTCTCTCTCATCCGAGGTACGCTTTTTGTCCACGAGTTGGAATTTCGACAGACGACTGGAAACAAAAGAGGCAATATTTTCAAAATCTTTGTATCGACATTTTTGACAAGTGGCTTTCCAACTGAATGCAAAACAGAATAACACAAAAATGTCAGCATTTAACAAAAAATGCATAACATGAATGAAAATTGTTAAATGAAGATTAAATTATTATTATTAATGCTAATTTCATACACTTTCGTACAAATTCCTATAAAAATCAACAAACAAAATATTTGAAAACGGGAGTTACATTGCTATGAATAACGAACCATGACGTATGATCGGGTTAATTGAGATTGAAAGTACAATGAGAACATAGCATAAATAGAGAATTGTGTCGTATGAACGCGTCATGGTAGAAGAAACAGCTCATGGCAGAAGAATACAGGTAGATGCATCAACGCTTGGGAGCATTGATATGTCAAAAAATTTTAAATGTTTTTTTCAAATATAAGTAGATTTTTTTAATATTTTCTTATACGACGTCATTCGAAGGTTATTATAATTCGAGCTTTTTAACAATTTTTACAAATTTAAATAATTTTTCATTCAACATTTTCAACTCCAAAATTGGTTTGACAGTTCATTGTCCCAGCAGCTGTGTCGATGCGTCTACCTATATTCGTCTACCATGAAACAGCTGCTGGGACAATGAACTGTCAAACCGATTTTGGAATTAAAAATCTTAACTGAAAAAAAATTGAAATTTGTAAAAATTGTTGAAAAATACATATCATTATAACCTCCGATTTGCGTTGTATAAGAAAACATATAAAGATCTACATATTTTTTACAAAACACTTTAAACATTTAGACGCGTCGACACATCTGCTGGGACAATGAACTGTCAAACCAATTTTGGAATTGAAAATGTTGAATGAAAAATTATTTAAATTTGTAAAAATTGTTGAAAACGCGTAATATAATAGCCTTCTAATGAGGTAGTATAAGAAAACATATAAAAATCTACTTATATTTGAAAAAACTTTTGAATTTTATTAGTTGTGTTCCAGTACTTTTTTAGTAGTAAAACTAGCAGAAGAGAGAACAGTTCGAAATGTCATTCTCATTTAGGTTTGCTCAAAAAATAAGGGAACGGAAAATTAGCAGAAATGCGATAAAATGTCAAAATTCAAAATTCCAAAAGTAAACAGCCTAAATCGGACTGGTGAAACCTTACTGAAAAGAGCGCCAACATTTAAAAAATGAGTATTGAAGACGATAAGTTAAAATTAATAATTTATAATAATAATTAATAATCTGATTCCTCATTCAGCCAGTCCTCTTCACTGCTGGAATCATCCAAAAGTGAATACATCAGTTACTCCATATTTTCTCTTTTTGTTTTTTGCACGACAAATATTAGTTTTTCCTTTAGTTTTCAAGTTGATCATTTTCTTTATTGAAATGTATCAATACATTTTTCAACCTTGTTAGCCCTGCCAATTAAATGTCAAATTTACAATATGCACATTTCTGCTCGGCCAAATTCATGTAGCTAAAACAAGCAGAAATGTGCACCACTCAGCGCCATTTTTTTCTCGAGAGAGCGGCAAGTTTTGCTAGTTTTTGGAGTACGGGAACGCGTTGTAGCAGAATTAGTGCTAATTAGTACTAATTTGCAGGTTCTGGAACACAACTATTGACATATTAATCGCCAACGCCAAAAATCAAACAATTAATCGCAAGTCGACTAATGTATCCCTATTTTCAACGCCAAAATCCACAGTTGACATTCGTATCAAAGTTGCCACAGTTGATAGAAAAGATTTTATGGAAAAGGACGGTATGGATACGGCAGACGATGATGCTTGTGCCGTGCCGGCAACCAACGAGGATTCCAGGAGCATAAAATCTATAAGTAAAGACAATGTTCACAAAATTTGTTCTGGACAGGTATCAATCAATGGCTCGGCTATATGTCTTCAATACTATTTTCCATTAATGTTGCAGGTCATTGTAAGTTTAGCCATTGCTGTTAAGGAGCTGGTAGAAAATGCAATAGATGCAGGAGCAACAAGCGTAGATGTCAAGTTAATTGAGCATGGCGCAGAGTGCATAGAAGTCAGTGATAATGGCATCGGCGTTGAAGAACACAATTTGGAAGGAATGAGTAGGTTATATTTTGTCAATAGTTACAATACATGCCAAGACTTTCGATCAGAACATCGCGATATTTGTTAATATTTTGAGCTTTATAATTGGTTAAAACAGTATACCGATCATCATATCTTGACGATCTGAGCTGATCTAGCTATGTCATCCGTCCGTCTGATCATATTCAATTGCAACCAATCTTCATGTCGCAATTACGTTCCACTACTTAAAGGGTTCTTGCATCCTTAAAATTAATATTGATTTGAATTGTCAGATGTGGGAGATATAGCAATATATATATATAAATCTAAATTTTCAAAATTTAATTGGAACTCCCATTAGCCCGACAATAGTTAAATAGCAGGATACCCATGATAAAAAAAGGACACCTAGAATTAATAATTATTTTAGACTCTAACCCACCTACCACTCACCATACGCAGTGTACATTTGGGCAGCATTTATTGAAGTGCAGTTTTTTAAAAGTTATGTCGAGAACTAAAATTCGACGTAAATTTGCCTAATTAACTTTCTAAATTCAACATTTCACTTCGACACGAATTCGGCTGGAATAATGCATTTTAAATATTTCCAATGTTAATTCTCTATAAAGACATTACTTAGTAAATTTTACTGGAAAATTTACCATTAAATTGTCTATGTGTTAATATTTACCTTTTGCTCCTCTAGTGATACATATTGCCAACAAATATATAATCACGATATTCCACCATTTCCCTATAATTCTACAATAAATCGAAATTCTAATGAAAATTTGCTTTTTGACGAATACATTGATATTAGAAATGTCTTCTGATCCCAGAGTTTGGCATGAACGAAAGAGCTTTAATTTGATAACGTTAATATGTTAATCTTCGTTATTCTTCCACGCACTGAAGCTGCTAAATATCACACGTCTAAACTTAGGGAGTTCGCTGACTTGCAATCGATAGCGACGTTTGGCTTTCGCGGCGAAGCTTTGAGCTCGCTCTGTGCTCTGGCCAACATGACGATCATTACACGTCATAGAAATGCAGAGGTTGCAACTAAAATTGAATTGGACCTCGAAGGAAATATTAAAAGTCGTACACCATGCGCTAGATGTGTTGGAACCACTGTTATATTGGAAAACATCTTCGAAAAGCTTCCGGTCAGAAGGAGGGCCTTTGTTAAAAATGTCAAAAAAGAATTCAATCAAATGTGCCAAATTCTCCAGGCTTATGGCTTAGTTTGCAAAGGCGTGCGAATAAAATGCACCAACCAAACTGCGAAAGGAAAGAAGTCGGTGATACTGCAAACGCAAGGCTCGAACAACATATCCTCCAATATTTCAGCTGTATTTGGCAGCCGTCAGGTTTCTGATATTGTAGAACTCAAGTCCCCGTTGAAGAAGAGCAACGGAGGAAATAATGACGTCGACGTGCTGCTGGAAGAGTTGCAGGAGGATTTAGGTGACACTGTTGGTCTAACAAGGGAAGACATTGAACAAGTATTGCATTGTAAACTCGAGGGATACATATCCAGTTGTTCGCATGGAAGTGGCCGCTCATCCAAGGATAGGCAATTCTTTTATGTAAATTCGAGGCCATGTGACCCAAAGAATGTAATAAAGTGTATTTTTTTTTCTCCCATTGATATTTATATTTTTCCCTGTGTTTTGCAGATATCTAAGGTAGTAAACGAGGTGTATCATCGTTACAATCCTCATCAGTTTCCTTTCGTGTACCTCAACATTATAACTGACCGCGAGTCAGTTGATGTCAACTTAACACCCGATAAACGGCAACTTCACATCAACAACGAAAAAATTCTTATGACCTTAATCAAGAAGGCACTGGATTCTACATTCGGCAATATTCCATCCACATATAAAATGCAAAATACTATTATAAACAGTATGATAACGATGGAAGAGGAGGGAGGCAAAAAAAAGGAAAAGTCTGATGAAAACAACGAGCATAGTGATATTTATGCAACAAACATGCACACATTTAGCCAAGTACTATCCCAATGGAAACGTACGGGCGACACTGAAGGTATCGTAGTATCATCAACGAAAACATGTAAACGAAAATGCACGGAAAGCAACGAAATCGCGACGAGGACTCTAAAAATGCAAAAAATACAGGAATATCTTAAAAATGAAAATTCCGTGCCAATGGCCACCGTTCAATGTTATAAGTCTGAAACTGAAGATGATGTCAAACGAAAAGAAGACACACCTGGTCCACTACTTTCTACACCACTAGCCACTGTTCAATGTTATAAATCTGAACCTGAAAATGATGACAATGGTAATGGCAAACGTAAAGAAGACACATCCAGTCCACTTCTTTCTACAGTACAATATTATAAATCTGAATATGATGATGGAAGTGTCGAGGGCGATGGCAAGCAAAAAGAAGACACGGCTGACACACTATCTTCATCTCTAAAAGAATGTAGACCGCCACCGCGATCTACCGAAAGTTTGAGGGACGATGTTTTAGAATTTGACCTTCCCTTAAAGCAAGATTCAGAAAAAAATTTAACACTTGACGAAAGTGTATCAGAAATGTATATGCAAAGGAAACCATGTAGTGAAATGGAAACTTCAATATCAGACATAGAAAGAACACTGCAAAAAGAAATTCACGTTGAACAGCAGATCCAACTAAAATCAAAGTTGGAAAGATTACGGTTTAGGTCCGAAATAAATCCAAGCCAAAACAAGACCGCTGAGGCAGAATTGCAAAAGGAGATAAGCAAAGTTCACTTTGCCCGAATGGAAATATTGGGTCAATTCAATCTGGGATTTATTATAACTAAGTTAGACACCGATCTATTCATAATAGATCAGCATGCTACAGATGAGAAATATAACTTTGAAACTCTGCAAGAGACTACACAGCTACACCATCAGCCACTAGCAGTTGCGCAAACTTTGGAATTGACAGCTGTTAATGAAATGGTTTTGATCGATCACTTGCCGATGTTTGAAAAAAATGGCTTTAAATTCGAAATTAATTACGACGGTAAGTTGAAAAAAAAAATTGTCCTTTTGTATTGTTAAGGCAGTTGGTAGTTAAATTTAGTGATCCGCTCTTAATGTAGAAGAACAGACAACTCTACACAAAGCCTTTTTTTATTGGCTTAAGTCACCGGCCGGTTTCTTCGTAAAATAACAAAGGAGATTAGGGTGAATACGAATAAATTATGGCTTAAATTAAACGAAGTCAGGAAAAAAACAATTTATGTATCTGCACCCTAAGAGTGGCAAGTTAGTTGCTTGGTCTTAGCACTGCTCAACTTTTAGTACACTTAACCGATCTGATTAGAGAGGCAATTGATGGAGGTGATGTTGTGTTCTTGTAGCACTGGATATATCCAAAACTTTCGATTGTGTTCACCATTCAAATCTGGTAGAGAAATTATGCTCTCTAATGCATTTGAGTGCAATTCATGTAAATTGATTCCTTCTTAATCTGTCTTCTAGCTTACGTTGGTTGTACTTACAGTGGGGTATTTCAAGCTTCTATATTAGACCCGCTTCTTTTTGTTGTATATGTCAATGACATAGTAGCTTTCTATATCAGTTTTTGTACGCGGACGACATACATTTATTTGTTTAACGGTCAATCATGCACTCTGATAACAACAGATACACAACAATATGTTTTATTTCACGATGGTTGAGTAATAATAGTCCGGTAGTAAATGTTGTTCAGACAAAAGCAATGATTTTTGGTACATCCTACCGACTGGATAGGAGTATTAACATACAGATTAATGGCTTGGGAGTTGATTTTGTTGATCATATAAATTTTATAGGTGTTGTCGTTTATGCTAAGCTCGACTTTTCTTTGATACATTATACCACAAAATATGCTTCGAAAATTACACTGATTTATATTTGCCTTTCTTTGCGATAGAAATCTTGCCTTTTCTATGCTATTACGGTATTTTCCTATTGTACTGAACTCATATCAGGAAAAACTTTTTAGTTTGATTGTCCTCTTTCTATGTTTGTCTGTCTCTACTTTTGTTAAATATCGTGATTTACTTGAAATGTTGACACTTAGTGTGGGAGGTATCAAAAGGAGAGGGTCGAAAATGTACATATTCACATCAGATCTCAATCATTAAGGTGTGCCTAGTTTAATGATGCGAACGAAAATAAGCTATTGAAAACGTTTGCAATCGTTTCGTTCTGTATTTTTTTGAAGTACGAAACGAAATAAAGCCGATATTAAGATAACGGAACTTGTTTCTTAGTTTTTACTGTTTGTGTTTGGAAACGAAGTAGTACAATAGCCATTGCAAACGTTTGCAAACATTTCTCCGTATCAGGGATGGAAAATCAAAAATTCCAAAAGGTACTAAAATGGTACTTTTTTAAATAAAATGGTACTTTTTTATAATTCTTTTAGAGTTACAAAAAAACGTTTTATTCATTAAACATAACAAATTCATTCACCTATGTATTTAGGTACATATGTATATAGCTTCCAGGAACATAAAATGTGAGATCATTTTTTCTTATATAACATTCTGAAGTTTGTAAAGTTATTTTTATGATTAATTTCTTAAGGAAATTGTCAGGAATTTTGTAATCAAAACAGCAAGAATTATTCGATTTAAGAAGATCTTTCGACCTTATGAGATTAGAAAGTCTTTCTAGCTGTAGACGATTTCTTTCTTTAGTCTTAGTGGCATTTTGAATTGAAAATATTCGTTCAAAATTCGCTGAAGAATGGAGAATTGATAATATACCAAAGGCAATTCTTGATATATTTGGGAACATTAATTCCCCCAATTCATTTTTAATAACACTAACATTAAGCCAAAAATCACTAATATTACCATCTTTACATTTTTTAAGTTCAGGTTAATCAGATAAAGCTCTAAATTGGGAGTTAATGTTTTCAAAATTTTGTTCTTCCTTGGGAAAGAATTTCATTAAAATTTGCATTTCAAGTTTAGTATTATTAATTAATTTTAAAACATAAGACAAAAATAAGTAGAACATTTTCATTATGGGACTAGTTAGTTCATCGCTAATGAATTCCAACTCTATGACAAACGCATCCAGTTACAAAAAGATTTGGAACTGACAATTTTAATATTGCTTGCACACCTTTGTATTTCAACATCATCACTGAGCAATTATCAGCCGTAAACCCGATCATTTTCTCCAGTGGTATGTTGCATCCGTTTAAAACTTCAATTATTTTGTCAGTAATGCCTTTGCCGGTTGCCTCCACAATATGTTCTAGTGATAGGAATCTATCTTGACACTTTCCATCAAAAGTTCTTACAATAATCGCCAAATGCTTGGACACAGTACAGTCAGTGCCGTCGTTGATAACAATTGAGTAATAATTTGCATTGCAAAATTTGCTTATAGCTTTAGTATTTTCTGGTCACTGATATCCATACATTTGCAATGATAACCGAAGTTAGTGCCAATGGTGTCGTAAGAATGTGTATGAAATATTTAAAATTAGTAATCGTCGATTTACACTAATTGCATTATAATGGAGACAACTTAAGTGAAATGGTACTGAATTTCCCGCGGTAGTACTTAGGTACTTTTTGTAGTGAAATGGTACTGAAAAAAGTACCATTGTACTGAATTTTCCATCCCTGCTCCGTATATTAACTCACTAGCTGGCCCGGTCCGCGTTGCCGGCCCGTAATTTTTGTCTATTATGCATATTTGTCAAAGCATTATTATTCACAGATATGACTGATATAAGAGTTCTCGTACTGGTCGATTAAAAGTGTTTTAAAATTCCTGTACCCTGTAGGTACCTATACTTGTAGAAAATGCTATCATATCATAGGTATGTTGAAATTTTTGTGTAAGATTTTCACCCCCCAAATACACATTTTTAGTCAAAACCTTTGAAATATGGTAAAATCAGGAGGAACTTTTATAAGGGCACTACTCCGAAACATCGACCTACATTGAAAACTTTCTTCTACCCCTTATAATCCAAGATGACAAATATAGGTAAAATCAAAAATATAGCAGAACATAGCATGTCAAACTAAAAAAAAAAATCGCGTGATTTAAATAAGTAAAAATAGTTTTATCCACCTCATAATTGAGGGCAGAATGATTTCAGAATAGTCAAATATAATTACTATTTTGCACCCATTACCGTAAGATAATGGGTAATTAATTTTATTTGCCATTTAAATTGTAAGTTGGAGACCCCATAAAGTCCATATTTTTCATCATGGTATAATTCAATGACGATTCAACAAATATTCGGTTCTGTGCTATTTTCAAAAATTTTGTAATTTGTTCATGTTTCCACAATTTATTTCATATAGATGTACATCCCAAATCTACGTTCCCAACCAATATTCTCTTGGGGTTTACAAATTCAATAGAATACAAAATTTTCTTTTCTGACCACATATTAGATGTGAAAGTGGACTTCGGGAAACTCCAAGGTGGGGACTTTACTTAAATAAATTCCTATGTGGCAATTATCTGTATAATGGTTCCCTACCCCAGGGTAGCATAAATACAATTGTTTAGCCAAATCAATTGATGAGTGTAGTCAAGACCAATATGGGTCTTATCCGTGAGTTATGATCGATATCATGACCTGCAAAAGCGATTTAAGGTACCTTGAATGTTTGGGAAGAATTTCTGGAAGGATAAAAATCCTTTTCTTACTAAAAGTCCCATTCGATCTACTATTTTGCACCATTTATATTTGGTATTTTACTGATTGGAGTCCCAAAAAAATTTGCATTTTGAGCTCTCATTGGAAGGATTATTTTCAAATGAAAGAAGTAGGTCCACGCTTTGAAATGAGCCCCATTAGGCTTTTTCGGTCATTTTTGTTTGTTTAAATGTGTTGGCATCTTCCAGCTGAACCACGATGTAGGCCCTGGAGTTGAAAGGTAAATGTAAGTTTACATCGTATTTCGCATTTATTTCATTTTTTTTTTTTTTTTTTTTGGTGAAAAATTGTACATAGTGAAAATTATTCTTTATTTTGTTCACAAAAAATCCACTGAATTCAATATGATAATGCAAATTGAAAAAAATTGACAAAAGAAGAATAACAAATTGAAAAAATCTTCAACTTGTTCGCTGATTTTTTACAGCAAATGTTTAAAGGTCCTTACAAAGTTTGTCAATAGAATGTACTATTATTTTAAAATTCGATTCTATTGAAACTTTTTTCGATTTCTCCCCGATTTGAGAATTTTTGCAATGAGATCTCTTTTTCATGATTTTTTAGCGATTTTGAAATCAGAAATCAAGTCAGTTAAATAAATTGGTATTAATATTCGAATTCTAAAATAAAATATAAAAAAACACTACAAATGTACATTAGAAAAGAGTAAGTCAAAATGGAAAAATATCATGCAAAATAAAACAGTACTATTGTACATTTCAAAAGTCAAAATGAAAATGTTAATATATCACATTTTTACGCGATCTTTTTTGTATATTATCCTTTTCGGACAGAAGACAATTCCGAATTTGTATGAATCGTTAAAATCAGTCCAGCGGTTCTTAAGTTATAAGCGCAGTAACTTACACAACTTTCTTTTATATATATAAGATTACAAATAATGTAAAAACTAAATAAAAGATACAATTATTCCTATTTTTCATTTATTTGCCTATTATACAATGTAAAAAAGTACAAAAAATGGTAGAATAACAACTCTTAATGTATCAGTCTTAATTTCGCACAGCAAATGTTAGCAAACGTTTCCCGGTGATTCGTTCGCCAAAGATACAGCTCGGCAACTCACAGCCGAAGTACATTAAGGAAACTGTATTGTTTGTGTACTTCTGGCATTGAAATGTTTGTGGTTTTGTTTGGAGTACAAAACGATTGAAAAAAATTAAAGTTTGAAACTTTTTGCAAGTCAATGAAACTTTCCGATTTATAGAAAGGAACTTAACAAAACATTTTTATTTTTGTAGGTTTAAAACTATATCAACTAATGGCATAAGTTGAGTTTAGGGGCTATGCTTGGATTGACCTGAAATTTT